AAGAAAAATAACAGAACATATCAGAGTACTCTGCAGGCACTAAAGAGTTAAGTATTATTTTGTGAAACTTTGTTTCTAGGGTATGAATAAGTGGGATGTGTGTGTTTGCCTGTATGTGTACTGGGTCATGATGAAAAACAGAATTCTTACTGTTGAGAATGGTCAAAAAGTTCAAAAACCACTGGTATGAAGAATAAAAATCTATATGATTTCACCTGGTGATCAAGCTCCACACTCTGGACCCAGCTCTGGCCACATGACATTCAGACAGCCTGGATTAACTATTTTTTAAAACATAGGCTCCAAGTCTAGCCTTCTTGGTTTAAACTCCACATCTGCCATCCACCAGCTGGGTGGCCCTGGGCTTACCTTCTCTGCATAGCAGAGTCTTCTAGGGTTGAACTCGGATGTCCTTCAAGGACCATCCGAGCTCTAGGGTGCTTTTCTATCACAAGCCTACAATCAAACGTGGGGACACCCTAAGCTCCTAACTGCTGGACATATCTACAGGGGACAAGGCTTCCAATTCAAATGTGCACTCTGACAGAAGAATGACAAGACAGACCCAATCTGAATGCTATTTCGCGGGCATCTCAAGATTTTTCTAGTCATAGTAAAACTGTCTCATTTCAGAATACAGTCATATACGTAGATATTCTTTTCAGACTTAGATTACCTACCAAGTTAAATCTACACATTTAAAACTCTCAATACACACCAGATGCCACATGGCACTTAAACACAGAAACCATCCTGCTCTAGAAGGAATGGTTGTTTAGCGAGGTAAAAACGCAAATGTGGAAAAAATGATAAGAAAACAAAACAAAAAAGAAATCATAATCAGTGAATGACTAACTGCCAGTGAACAATAGCTGACGCTTCTTATGTGTTTACTATGTGCCGCTTCACTGTGAGTCCTTCACATTTTAATGTTCACAACAAGACCGCCCCATTTTACAGATGCTGTGAACTAAGGCACAACGATTAAGTAAACTGTCCA